GATAGATAGATAGATAGATAGATAGATAGATAGATAGATAGATAGATAGATAGATAGATAGATAGATAGATAGATAGATAGATAGATAGATAGGTGAGGTTAAATTAAGGGAATGAATCTCTACTTTTGAACTGCAATAATGTAAAGTGACAAATTTTCCAAGAACAGAATAAAATAAAATAGTTTGTGCTACAGGAATACAATAGGTGTGGGTCTTAATAACTCAGTCACGCACTCGTAGTGTATATAACGTAATATAATAGCATATTGTGTGACACCAACAAAGAACAGATTAGAATAGAAGTCTATGAGCATGCCTCTCCATCCTCCGACAGTCCTGCAGGCCGGCCCGGCGCTGCTGTTGCTGTCGGAGCATGCTGACAGGCAGATCGCCGCTGTCAGAAGGACCATAAATCATCCGAGCGGATGAGCCTCACCTCGCCCCTCTCGATCCGCTCCACGATGCTGGCGAACTCCGTCATATCCTCCGAGTCCGACATGGCTACAGATGATGGTGATGATTGTGGGAATGACGATGGATGCACAGTAAATAGAAGAAGAGAGCACCTCGATATTTAAAAATGCAGAAAAAAATGACGCAAACAACTGCTGCGGCTTGTTAAAGAAACAGGATAAAAGCTTCACAGCTTCGCAGGGGAGGTGAGACAACACCAAGAGAGGAAGAGCCGCTCCTCAGACCATATCCACATCATCCATCCTCTCTCGTCCTCCCTCCCTCTTTCTCTCTCCGCACGGGTTTAGGTTTGTCCGTGGAGACTACAGTAGCCCACATATGCCGGCAGCAGTTTAATTTTAGTTAGCCTCATCTTGGAAGGAAAAACCCCGCCCTCCCTCCTTTGTAGCCTCCTGTGCCATCTCCCTCCTTATCCCCACATCATCCCTCGGCGGCGATGTCTCGCCTCACACAGCTCTTTGTACTCGCCTGATCTACCATTTATCACCCCCCGAGTGAATGACTTCCCTTAATCTGTCAATCACTACAAAATCATAATCATGTCAGCCTGAAGATTAAGGGTCGGGTAGGGAGGGGGGGGGGGGTCTCAAATCAGTTAGTGCCGCTTATTCAAGTTTCTTTTACGCATGGCTGGCGGCGCACTCACGTGCGCACATGACGCTTTATGGGCCGACTTGTGGTCATTTAGCCTCACGAATGAGACTACAGGTAGCCTTTTTGTGCCACTATTTGGTTCATTTTGTTGTTTGGGAAGCTGAAAACCGCCCCTTGAATGTGACGAATCCAGACGTGTAGAGGTTTGGAGAAAAAGCCAGATTGTGAAGCCGGATTAAGTTCGTGTTTTTAATTTTTCTGGCAATGCCACTTGTTCCGCGTCGGCAGATGGCTGCACGGCTTCATGCAGATATATTCCACCCCATTGAGCATGTGGAAGGGGGACAAGCAGGCAGACTGCCCTGACCGAACAACCGAAGCATAACAAACTTATTAAGTATGTTTCCAGTGGCTCCCAACCACGGATACGATCACAGTCAGCTGGCAGCAGTCGAAAAATCTCCTTTAAAAAACATTTAAAGATGCAGGTACATAACTTAACTTCTAATAGAATACTACAATAAAAAATACGAGCACCCCATCGTTGAATGATTTAGAGGTCACTAGGATCAACTTGTGGACTGAACAGACAGCAGTGAGAGGCTGCATTTAGCCAATGATGAGGACAGAAGGATAAATTGAGGGATTATCAAAGCTGAACTTCTGTCTGAGGGCAATGTGATTTCACCAGATTTCAGTGGAAAAATCTCACACCAAAACTAAATGTGGCCCTCATCATCCTGGCACAAGGAAAACCTGAGGGATGACCACACACCGTTAGTAAGAACTCATCGTGTAGGAGGCATTAATGTCTGGAACAGAGTTTATGGCCATCCATCACGTGCTGCTGCGATGCAGTGCTTTAGTTGTCATGTACATAAACCCGAGATGACACATAACTACCCCTTAAAACGCCACAGTGCTCTACACCTATTACAAAATCAATATAAAGTACTGATTAACGTGTTTCACTAAGTAGGACTGACAGAGAATACATGTTTTATAAGCACACATTAGTTCACCTAAGGCCCTGTGATCGTTCCAGATGAGTCATTAATATCACATGAAAGGCAGAGTGGTAAACATGCTGCATTTCTTCACTTGTTTTAGTAGAAACAGCTCAGTTGGCGACTGAGTTTGCATTAAGCGATGTTTACCGACTCATATTAGGTCTTCTTTGCTGGCAGATATACATGTGGGAGCATGAGAGGTGTTGATGAACTCCACAGCTGCAACTTGCTGCCAAGGGAATATCTCCAGACATCACCAGTCTGGGTTAGGCTGTAATCACTTGGGTAAAAATACTTTCCTAACCTCATGTTTGTATTTCTATTGCTTTCTGTGGAGTGGGGGGCAAAATGTAAGATCCACTGCTGTTTAACATTTTATAATGTCCAAAGATTGGATATCAGTGCCACTGGGCTCCATTAGCCTGGCTCGTGTTATCCTATCAGTGCCAACAGTGAAGTCTGTGACTGTGCTGTGCAGCTCCCAGGTGGGACTCCATGTACGTGTGATCTGTATCCAGAGGAACCCCCCGCCCCACCTCCCCCACAGCTTTTAATGATGTTTCAGTCACTGACCTAATAAAGCAGAGGGGAAAAAAATCATCTCCCAGCTTTACTCACTACACAAGCCATCCACACTGTAGAAACATGAAAGGCAACTGAGGCAAATTGAGGGAAAATACCGACCAGCTGTCATCTTTCGATGTAAAAATAAAACAACAACAGTTGAGTCACCGAGCCATATGCAGGACACAGTGAAAGGAAATAAAGCCTTTCATAAAGAAACTCAGCTGTTGCGGGCAGCATGAATCATGTAACACCCAAAGGAGCGAACACTTGCTTTGTCTCTTTTTGCTGTAAGGAAGTATTTAACATGAGATACTTCCATCCAGGAGGCATTAAGCAAGGGGAAATCCATCTTTGGCATGACAGCTGGGATGACAAGATTCACAATAGTGAGAATAAAAGTGCCATGCCATGACCCGTCAGACCCAGGAGAAGCATTTTTCTCCCCACCACAGCAAAGATCGAAACTTTTATCCAAACTTGGTCCTGTTTTCATTCTGAGACTGATCCAAGACCTTTAAGGTGGACAGGTGAGAGTCCATACTCATGTTTTAGTGCAAAGAGGGGACAGGGACTGACTCTGAAAGGACTAGTTGAAGATCACATTTTTGATAGTTTTGTGTTTTAAGAAATTCGTGCTTTATTTCTTTCTGTGAGTATTTATTGCAGCTAATGATTAAAGAGATTTTTATTGTCGATTGTTTGTAATTGCTGTTGCAGTTGTGGATGCTTATTATAAATATGGCCAAAGTTTCAAATAATGTCTCTGTATACCCAGGCTTTAGACTGCTCAAAGTGTTCACTTACAGCTTTTTGGGATCTTTATGAGGCCAAACAGGCTGACAGCTCTGGTGCTTCCACTCAGAATCAAGCAGAGCTTGATGGGAAAGACAGTTGAGCTGCTCCCATTTGAATCTCATTCATGTTTGGAATCTTGTCCTTTCAGTGATAAAGCCAAAGTATTTGTAGGCTTAGGTTTCCTTATGAAATGATTTCTTTTTTTGAAGAAACTTGCCACATAGGAGGGTCTCAGTGGCAGGGAGGCAGGGATAAGATTTATTTCCTTATTACACCTTTGTGCAGATAAAGGCATTTCAAAAGCTACAGGCTACTTGCTATATGAAATTTCAATCTGTATTTTTCATTATAAGAGGAAAAGCCTTCTTTCCTAATAAAACAAACACATGGCATATACAGTATGTTTTTTCCCCTTTTGGTGCACATCTGGAACATAATCATTTGCATTTTCGACCAAATTTGGTAACCCCCATGGCTTTTCACCTCCAGGAATGAGTCTGTTTTTAACAAGCAAAATCAATGATTTGTGCAGATGATGCACACTGGCCCCACGGGACAAAACTAAACTGTTTTTTTTTTCTGAATCTGAAGCTGTTGATACTGAAGGAAAAACTTCAAGAGGGGCCAGTAGATTTGTCCACCATCTCCCAGATTACAGAGTACCTGACAGACAGGCCACAGTTTGTCAGACTGGCTTATCATCGTCTGACATGGTGACGGGCTGTCTCCATTCCTGTTCCCTTTGTGCACCTCAGATTTTGAATACAACCCTATAGAAACACTCTGACGATTCTGCAGTGGTTGGATGTACTAATGATAAGCAAGAGGAGGAGTACAGAGCACTAGTGGATGATTTTGTGTGCATTCTGTGAGGAATCACCTGCTTGTGAATGCGAATAAGACCAAAGAGATGGTGACGACGAGCACAGCTACACGACCAGTGTTGGTCCTGGGACCGATTGTCTATTTGATGGAGGTTTACCCATGCAACCATGACGGCAACAGGCTGACCTGGAAGATGAGCAGGCTCTGTTTACTAATAAAGCTGCAAACCACAGCAAAACAGACATTATCAGTCTGCTGTAGCGAGCACAGTGTACGGAGCAGGAAGGCTGGCTCTGTGATTGGCTGAAGTAACAAACCTAACCACCTCTGCTGCACGCACTGGACAGCAGCAGAGAAACTTTCTCTAACAGGCTGATTCAGCCACATGGACAGATACAGGAAGTCTTTCATAGGTCATGTGACACATCTATCTGAAAATCATGTTTTCTCATGTTAATGGTTTATTCAAACCCTGCACCCAGGAACCAGCAAAAAAAAAGGGTGGACAGATCTATATTTAAACCTATACTTTGTTTCCTTATTTGGATTTCAAATCAGATTTTACTTTAGTGAAATATGTTGCCATTTTGAATTTTATTTTACTGCGCTATACACTATTATACCTATATTGTTATAGGTTGTATTAACCTTTATTTTTAACTTCTGTACCGAAGAAATTCTCCAGCTTTTGAGGTTAAAGTGCGACTTAGCTAAAGTGAAAAGCTGCACGAACCCACCCACAGAAAACAATTCAGACAGTTAGTACAGGTTTTATTTACCATACATACAGTTTGCACTGCCAAGCCAGAGCCAACATCATTTCATTCAAAGCTATAGACAAACAGTACATCACATGCCAACATTTGCATATCCAGTTCCTCTAACAGTCTCACTCCCGTCACCGTAAACCTGGTTCTCTCTTGCACGATAGAAGTCACATATTTATAGACATTTACATGTGTATCTACACTCAATATCTCTACAAAGCATAGAAAAAATAAATTTCATTACCTTTATTCTTACATTATTCATTATTACATTATGTATATTTATTGATGGCAAAGCAGGGGTTTATGGTTTGACCACATGTTGCTGGATCTCGGAAGGAAAACAGTTTTCACTGCAGCTTAAAGCACAAAGCCGTCGTCCACCTGTTTTGGGACAGAGTGGACTGCGATGCAACCGGGGGAGAGCACAGGTGACTCTGCTGAGACACAGCCTTCATCTGCAGTCACGTGGCAGAGCCATTAATCCAATCTTTCATGCTTTTTAAGAAAGTGTCCACGGGAAGTGTTAGAGTGAAAAAGCAAAACACCCCGAAAAAAGGTTCCAGTAAAAAAAAAAAAAAAAAAAAAAATCACTTCCATCAGTCAGATCGTACAGTCTGATTGTATAAGCACATTTAACAAAAATGGGAGGAGCAAAGAGTTTAGAGAGCAGTCGTTACCCTTCCTGTAAGTTTACATGCATTTAGAGTAGATGGTTCCTTCCTCTTTCTTCTCCTCCAGGAAAGAAAAATATCCTGGGCGTCTGTTGACAGAAGGAGCATCCCTAACCCAGTTTAACCATGCTGCATGTACAGAATTGCAGTATTCACAGAGCACTGACCCAAAACGACGCTGCACGAGGCACATTTCAAAGTCAAATTTGAGCGAGTGACAGGCCGAGGATGGCCTGAGGAATCTGTATAGGAAGCAGAAGTGACGTCCTAAGATGCAGATCATTAAATTTCACCGGATCTGGCTCTACAGTGGTGCAGCAGAAGTAACAGTTTTCTTTCTTACAGAGCAAAGCAAATCACAACACATTGATTCAAGAATATAATGATGACTTTAAAAAAAGAAAAAGAAAATTACTTTTTTTTTTCTGAATTCAGATCCTTTCTTTACTTATCTAAGGCTTAATTCAAGAACATCTGAAAAAGATGCACTGAAACAAAATCTTAGGAAAAATGATACTATAGTAACAACGAATAGCCACAGCAAAGCCTGTCGCTTTAGGAAAAGCATGCAAACATGAACGATAATAAAGCATTGGCTAAAAAGTAGCTGTAAAACCAGGCTATATAACACTGAGGGCTTTGTTGGGAGTCGAGGAGAAGACGTCAGCCTACATTGGTTTACTTTTAATAATAGATGGCTCAAATTATTTATTTATTCACGTCTTCTTTCCTCCGTCTCCCTGGTCTGTAACCTTAACTGAAAACGAGGTCAATTTGGAGGAAAGGGAGATGATGCCAGGACCGGCTTTAGTTTAGATGGTAGGATAAAAAGAAAAAGATTGTGAGAACGGCTGTTGTATGCAGCCTACAGTGAGGGTGCAACCACTGCAGGCAGCGTTTGCTTAGACGGCGACCCTGGTATGAAAGGATGTGGCTGGGAGAAGATGGTTATTTGGGAATGAGAGAACCTCAGTGAGGGCAGGAGGTGGTGGCTGTGATCAACTCAGTGTCGTGTGTCACTCTAAGGGTTGTTTTTGAAATTTAAAACTCTCTGCCTCGGGTCAAGAGTAAAAGGTTGCCTAAACGACATGTGAGTGGTGTTCCTTTGAGCACCTGTGCGGTAAACCCTACCAGCTCTGCCTCAGTGATTTAGGGGTCTGGGGTCAGATCACTGCTAAATACTTTGTGATGAACATTTTCGGTGGGGGGGATGCAAGTAGCTCGTTGGGATAACACTTGCTTCTGTTTCCTGACACTCTGTGGTCCATTCTGCTCACGCTCATTGTTCTCCGTTGTTACCTTGCATCCTTTCTGCACTGAAAATAACTGCACTGTTCAAAGGAATACATTTCCTCAAGCTACGGTGCTATTGTCTCATCTTTTCTTACCGGTTTGAGGCTGGTTAGCGCCTTGCAGGGAGCATGCAAGCTAGCGAATGAGCACAGGTCAGGATGCAGGAGTTGTGGGGTGTTAGGATGGGGTCTGCTGCTACAACCGGGAGCTACTACCTCTGCAGGAAAGAAGGTGGTTTTCCCCTTCTTAACAAACTCCCTGGAGAGGCTCAAATCTCTTTTCTGTTAGCCGTCAGAGAAAAATGCAGACAAAGAATCATATTTTCTAAAATGATTTGCCTGCAGCTAAACCCATAACCACCTTTTCCATTAATTTCACACCAGGCGCTCTTTAATTTAAATCTTGATCAGTGCACACAGCCTGCAGTGGTGAAACTGGGAGATGAGTAAACCTGGCCTGGTATCACCTTTGGGACATGAGAGCTTGAGGCTTTAAACAGGTTCACAAGCAATGTCAGGATGGAAATGCTACAAGGGCAACAAAACAAAAAGCAAAAGAAGGAAAAGGAGACTATGCTTCGAATTCTTTAAGTCTTTGAATGAAAAGGAGACCTTAACAGATCTTAAAATTTAGAGACATTACTCAGCAATAGCATAATCTTAGCAAATAAACCTGATAAAAAGACAGTGTGGATGCTCCCAGCCCTCCAGGGATCCCCCCTTAAACACTTATTACAATGTTTCTCATGTACATTTAGAGTTTTGATCCTTGGCTATGAAGATATTGTTCACAATGATGATGAGCAGCAAAGCTCAAAAGGCCATTATCTAAAAACTCAATGGAACAATGGAGGCATCAGAAATTTCAAGTTTATAGCAGCTCAAATTTGACTTTCTGGCACGTTTTTATTCCCACGAACCACAAACCGCACCGTTATTGACTACTGTGCGAATAAAAGGCAGCAAAAAACGTGAGGCGTGTGGCTCTTAACGGAAGAGTTGCACTGGATGGATTTAAAGTGAGCGTCCCAAAGTTACTGCTTTTGTAAAGAAGAGCGTTCTTCAGTCCTCACATGAGATGGCCTCTTGGTAAGTGGCCAAACCTCTTCAACAAGTCCAGTCCTCCTTGACTGGTAACTGTTCGACGTTGCTGATAACTGAAGCCATTGAGAGGGAGCGCCGCGGTTCATCCGGCTTTCAGTGCTGACGTCCGCAGGTGTCGGTGTTGTCTCTCCATGTCTGCTGCAGCTGTTGGAGGTGCTGAAAGGCTCTCTGGGTGATGTTAAGACCGGGGTGGACCTTCCTCAGATTGGGCTCTCCAATCAGGGACAGACCACAAAGCCCTAAATATGCATGAAGAGGATCTGACAGAGAGGAAGAGAGATTGAAAGAGTGGAAAGAAGAAACTAGGTCAGAGATGATAACATGCATCACAGCACAAACACCTGTATGTGACAGGTCTGTAGCCTTTGCAGTACCCGTACACTGACTGATGACGCCAGAGGAAAAAGATGGAAGCCATTTTTGCTCAGTCTCTTTCTTATTGTTGAAACATGAACTCTGACCTTAACTGAGGAAAGTGAGGCCTGCAGTTCTTTAAATGATGTTCCAGGTTATTCTAGGTTACAGAGCTCTTGGAGCAAATTTGCCAGGTTGGCCACTCCCAGGAAGGTTCACCACTGTTGAAAGTCGTCTCCATTTGTCTCACTGTGGTTCACTGGAGTCCAAAAGTCTTAGGAATAGCTTTATTACCCTTTGCAGACTGACAGATGCCAGAGATTTTGTTTCTCAGCTGCTCTCGAGTTTCTTTAGATTGTGCCATGTTGTGCACGTTATTCGAGATCTTTTAACCTGCTTCACTTTGTCAGACAGCTTCTATTTAAGTGATTTCTTGATTCACCAAGAATCTAGCCATAATCAGGCCTGGGAGTGGCTAGTGAAACTAAACCCAGCTTTAAAAAAACAAACAAAACGATTTTGGTTAAGCACATTTAATTTATGATTTAACAAAAGAGGGCAGGCGGGGCAGGTTAGATAACTCGAGTACAACAAAGCCATCTTTGTCTAATACTAAAATGTGTTTGATGATCTGAAACATTTAAGTGTGACAAATATGTCAAAGAATAAGAAATGAGGAAGGAGACACATAACTAAACAGATTCAGAGTCTATACAGCACCATGAGAGCTGTTGGCACTTTTTGCACCATCATCATATTCTATCTGCAGTATCAAGGTGAGCTGGTACCGTTACTAGCTTGAAATCATATTACTGGGAGCTTTCCAATTTCATGCTCAAGTCTAATGTAAGAATTCAAGAAGACTACAACTATGAAACTTGACCGGCCTCTTAAGTAGAGGAACAAGAAGGCAAGTAAGGTCTAGTAATGAAAAATCTCTGCATGGTCTTGAGTCCCGACGTGCGTCATAAACCCCAGTTTAACCACTGGATAAGATGAACGTGCTGGATGTCCCTTTACCCATCCATATGCAGTCAATAAAACAAAAACCTCATTTCACATAAGAACCTTCCTCCATATGGTTTTCTTGCACTGAACCTTTAAGTAGATATAAATAATGCATGCAGGTCGCCTCTGTGGTCGTTTCACCTCCCCTGGGACGAGAGTAAAAGCTGCACGAGCCAGTAAATGAGCAGTAATTGAATTATAATGAAATGACAGATGATTGGACACAGACAGAGTCAATCAAAGCACCATTAGTGGCATCAATCAGGAGTCAACAAGGACTCAAACTAAAGGCTGAACAGAAGAGACGTCTCCATCAGTCCAAGGTTTGAGGCGGTTTGACTGATAAGGAAATTATCAATGTCCATTTAGCAAACTGTCTACTGGGGCGATCGTGGCTCAAGAGTTGGGAATTCGCCTTGTAATTGGAAGGTTGCCGCTTCGAGCCCCGGCTCGGACAGTCTCGGTAGTTGTGTCCTTGGGCAAGACACTTCACCCGTTGCCTACTGGTGGTGGTCAGAGGGCCCGGTGGCGCCAGTGTCCGGCAGCCTCGCCTCTGTCAGTGCGCCCCAGGGTAGCTGTGGCTCCATCACCAGTGTGTGAATGTCTGTGTGAATGGGTGGATGACTGGATATGTAAAGCGCTTTGGGGTCCTTAGGGACTAGTAAAGCGCTATAAAAATACAGGCCATTTACCATTTACTTACCCAGAGATGCAGATGAACATTAAAGCAGAGCCACCTCTGTTAGCTCTGTTTTAGTTACAAATAATGATACCTCTATCTGGCTCTTTAGCAGCTAAGTGCTAAATGTGTGGGTCCGAGCAGGTAGCACAGAGAATTGTGTGACAGACAAATAGTATCTTTAGGCACTTTGTTACTAGCAGCCTGTCACAAACGCATCGTTTCTTTCCGTTTCTTTCCATTTCTTTTCCGTTTCGTTACAACTTGGCATATCTTAGCATGCTGTGCAGCGTGCTCTTAAAAAGATTGAAGAAACTGGACAAATCTGAAAGTCATGTCCTTAAGAAACAGGAAAAAAAAATGGCAAAAACCTGACACGGGACCAGAGATGCACCTGAACCTTCAGCTGATCCATCTACTATTAACATCAGCCGTTCTTAAGGAAGGCAAACAGGGAGAGAAGGCTGAGGTGTGCTAAATTACACAGCCATCTGTAAAACATGGTTGAGCTCTGTCATGGTTTGGCACTGCATTTTAGCCAGTGGTGTTGGGATCTTGTAAAAATTGATGGAAATATAAATACAGAAAACTCTGTTTAGATTTAGATCCACATGAAAATGACCCCAAACACACTACCAGAGTAGTAAAAGCATACCTGGATAGAAAAACCATACAATGGGGCAATATCATAGATTGGTCTCCCCAGAGCCCGAACCTCAATATTATTGAAGCAGTGCGGGATCATCTTGACAGAGAACAGAGCTTTGAATGTCCTTGAAGAAGTATTTCCAAAGACTACTTAAAGAAATGACAACAAAGCTTGCCTAACAGAGTCCAGGCTACATTGAAGAATAAATATTGTCATACCAAATATTGACTTTCATGCTCCTCAGAATTGTACAGCCTCTGTTTTCCCCTTATATCTTGCATTCCATTTTATTTTTGAATATGTTTCAATAAATCGCTGCACCCATTTCCCGTTTTCCTAGCAAAATATAAAGAAACGAAGGGTGACTCAAGACTTTTGCACAGCAGCGTATTGATCAATGCCACTTCAAAGCACTTTCTCCAACATGAATCAGCATAAGGCTGCTTTGATCATTAAGCTACGCCTTTGGGCCACGAACGGTCTCTTGTAAGTGTTATAAAAGCAGAGACACGCGTATACAATAAAGGCAGGAGCTTTCTTTGTGACAACCATTTGGTTTGTTCAAATTCTGTCACGTCATTTACAGCAAAAAAAAGTTAGCTGAAAAGACCTGTGGATTTTATTTGATTTGGTTTTTTTAATAAACAGCTGATATTTTGTTGGTTCAATTTAATCACTTTAAACTGGTATTTCAGCCACTCTTACCCCGTGTAATCCCACATATTCCTGTTAATCAGATTGTTAAACAGTACCTGTGGACAAACTTGGGCTGTGCCAAATGTTCAAAGTATATTTGGCTTTATTTGGTGCAGATCTGCTAAACAAATACACAACACCTTCTTTTGTTCCAGGCTATTGTTGCTGTCCCATCTTCCCAAGCCAGTTCCTTCCTGTGCATGACTGCGCAGCTCAAACACGCACACACACAGAAGTCCAGCGGTATCTGTTCCCATACTGCTGCAGTCTCTTTTATTTCCTAAAACTCTCCTTTGTACATGTATATTCACACGGCTTTGTCATCACACTGTCTACCTGCCCTGTTCACCTCATTGTTCCTTCCACCCTGTCTTCCCCTGCCTTGTTCCTGTAACGTGAGGAGCCCGATCTGCTGTGTCCTTGGCTACCAACAACAACCACCTCATCAATTACACATTACAAGGGCGAGGAAGAAAGCACAAATACGGACCAGACGAGCAACTAGACCATTGAAGTTTAGGGTTACAAGAGCTCATCCGCTGATCTCAAATAAAACCGGCAACCACAGCTCCACCCTGACCTCCCTGTACCGGTGGAGGGCATGGAAACTGTTCAGTAAGAGAGAGAGGAAAATAAAGGTTTCCTAACTGCTTACATCCACCACCTCTTATCCTTGAGATATTTAGAGCCACAGCAAAGCATAGTAACCTAAATCGAGCTTCTACAAAAATAACCTCTATGCAAACAAACAGCAAAACTGATTTTTGTAAAAACTATGGGTGGAATCCACATTAGGCTTTTGAGTAGTCGGGTACTTTTTGCACTTTACCTAATGACTACATGTACTGTGAGATGCTTACCTGGATGGCTGTCTGGCCATTTGGCGAAGCCGCCCACCAACCGATCCTGCGTGGACAGGATGAAGCTCCGGTTCTTTTCAAAGTTTGTATACTGGAACACATCTAACAGCTGGAAAATAAGGGTAATAAGAAAAAGGAAAACATCTGCAAGACACTCTAACAAAACAAATGCACTGGTATACATTTAGAGCGCTGTTTATTATAAGATTAAACTGGCTCAGTACACACTCATTTCCAAAGAAGCAGAGCAGACTGTGTTTAGAGAAGTCACACACATATGACAACATTTATTTCCACAAAGGTGAAAACCAGTGATTACACACACTTGATATTCTCCCTCTATATACAGACATCAGGGGGGGAAAACATCAAACCTCAGTGTGAGCCATCTGCAAATATTTTGTTTGACTGTGAAATTTTAATCCTTCTGGCGCTTGACAACCCACAAATCCACTGTTTTCCTGCACTGGGTTTGCTTTAGCACGAGTGTGTGTGTGTGTGTGTGTGTGTGTGTGTGTGTGTGTGTGTGTGTGTGTGTGTGTATTTAGGTCAGGCTTTTAGCCTATATGGAAGTGAAAACCAACCTATGTATTAATTACCAAATGTCCCGGTGTTTTATATGCTGTGCAGGCTGAAGGACAGAAATAACATGCTGGGACTTTTTCTGTCCCCAGCCTACTTTGTGGTCAGTTTTTCCCTCAGGGGCAAAAATATTTGTCCCTCCAGTTTGTCTTCATTGTACATTCCTTCACATCCGATTGAAAAATTCAAAAACTGTGGCAAAAAAGTAGCCGGAAATACCACGGGGACTCAACGGCACCGAGCTGTTGTAATGTAACTAGATGATTACATTTCCCTGTCCATATCAGGTGACGCTGAAGGGTTTCAGAGGGGTTTGTGGCTTACAAGCAATTAAATCCCCCAGTAAACCACGAGTTTAGACGATGTGAGATTTTCAAAAATGATTCACATTTAGTGAATGCCAATATATTCTAAAGTGTAACATCTTCTATTCTGTAATAAAGAGAAATTTCATAAACTTAACTTCTTAAAAGGTTCTATAAATGAGACAATCGACAGGCCCACATTGTTCCCAGTGTGAACATGTAGGGTAATAGCCTCTGTAGGAGGAAAAAGAGCAGCACTTCCTTACTGTGTGCTGCAATCTAAGCTTCCCTATTTAGTGTTTCGGTATCCGGTTTGGCTGTGCATCCATGTTGGTGCACAGGAATCACTTCCTCTTAAACTGCTGGTATTTTAATTGCCATTTAGTGCAGCACCCAGCTTCACTTTTAATGCATGCAAAACGGTGTCTCTATATGCGTGCACGTGTCTGTCCCACTGGTCTTTACCTCCAATGTAGCTCCCACCCAAAAGGAGTAGCATGTATCTACGGGTTTGTTTGGGCGGCCGTGGAAACCGCTCTGCTGCCTCATGATGCACCAGCGCCGGATCCGGTCCAGTTCCCGCTGACTCAGTGCCTCCTCCAGTCGACCCATCAGACACAGAGAGGCTATGGCGCAGTACGTCCAGCCGCCTAGAAACACAACACAGGCTCATTAAATTTGACTAATCTGACAATGTATTCAAACTGGAAAGCAGCGCCGGTGGTTCATATGTTTTGGTGACAAACAAGATGATTGCAGGGCACGGCAATCAAAACACCGATTTTATATCTGTGTGTGGGCTCAAATAACTCACAGGCTAAACGTAAGACGAGAAGAGAAAAACCTTTAGAGATGCTTTGTTGAGGGCTGAAAAACAGAGCATCATACAGCTGGACTAATACCAGCGTGAGAGTTTTGATTGATTGATGATAAGCTGTTATCAGAGCAGCCATAAGCAATCTTCTACAATCCAGCTGTCAACTGCTTTCATTATCACAGCTGCTCTAGCTGACCTCCACACATTATGAACATCACTGCCAGCTTATCTGTGTTTGTGTGAACGTGGTAACGTGTGAAGGGGAGACACAAAGAAAAGGCGTGGTGAAGTGTTTGGGTCACGAGTGTAAATCTGCCAACATGCTACACTTGCCTATAATCAGCCATGTCTAGCTCCCTTTCTGCTTGAGGCGAAGGAAGAGGAGATAAATATAAATGTCAAACAGAACTGAGGGGAATCCTAACCATTGACTCTAACCGCAGGGTTGGGAACAATCGGCTTTATAATAAAAATAGACCCTAAAAGCAGCTTTCTGTTTGGAAAGTATAACAAATATTCACACCTGAATGTAACCTTATTTCCTCCTGTGCCAACACATACACTAAAGTCCCAAAGCTTGAGCCAACTTTCATTGGTTTATTTTAAATAATCTGGGGAGTATGACCTTCTTGTCATTTTACTTACTAGTGGTCTTGAGCACTAGTTCTCCAGGCTTTCCCAAAATTAGTTTCTAAGTTCATTTTTGGACTTTGGCTGCTTTTTCCACTCATTTTCAGGCAAGTCCTTCGACCGAAACATTTTCAAAAGATGTAAAAAAAGAGGTGGCATGAAAATGAACCAAACTCACGGGATGAACTAGTGTTACAACAGACAACTTGGCAAGGACTAATTTTAAATTGTAAATAAAAGCACATAATTTATTCTCATTTTAGTTTAATCTTCTAAAAATGCCAAATATAACATAAATTGACAAGGATAAAATTGTATTTTTGGACCAACAAGGTGATTCCCAAAGTGCTACTAACCCAAAATTGGCACATTGCGGCATACTGTGCGGTTAAAATTAGGAAAAGTGGAAGATAAAAGAAGAAGTGGCTTGCCTTAAAAAATAATAATAATAACTATCTACAGGAGATGAACTTAATCTGAAATTCATGTCCTTATGAAACAGGACAAAAAAAAAATCTTAAGGGAGGGGGAACAGGGAGAAAAGGCTGAGCTTAGGGCTGTGCGATATGACCAAAATCTCATATCCCGATATAAGAATTCTATCATCCGATACCGATATAAATCACAAAAATTTAACATTTTCTGTAAATTCTGTGAATCTCGGGCAGCTCGACTTGCGTGAAGTGTTTCCAGCTGCGCGTCCTGTACCCGGAGTCGAGTGTTTTAACCGATGCATGAAACTATACATTTTTAGACATAAGTTGTAACGGCCGCCGTTTTCTTTGTATTTATTACACGGCGTGCTGCGGGGAAACGCCTGTTCTAACGTTTGAGTCTAAGGTTTATTTTTTAGCACCTGGCGGCTCATTTTTACTTCTCATCCGTAAAAAATCTGCTCTTTCACGTGATTCAGTTTATTTTGAAAAGTCTCAACAGGATCTTGAGCTTTATTGTGAAAGGTTTATGTGGAACATACACAAGCGGACACGCGAAGGTGTTACCGTCGCTGTTGCTAACGACAACACATAAAAACAGACGCTTGTCCCTCAGTAGTGTGGTTATATTATATATAAGAGAAAGAGAGAACTTTCTCTTATATTAAGAAATTAATATAGCCTCTACAGTGACAATCAGAACGATGAAAAAATATTGCCGTAAACAGTTTATTTTGCGACACCATGAAACAAACGATAGCGTAAAATGAAACGATAGATGTTTTTATATCGTCATCCAATATATATCGTTATATCGAACAGCGCTAGCTGAGCTATACTAGTGAATAACCCAGATTTGACTTCTTTGATTCAAATCATCACCGAAATGTGTGGAAGTCAGGAGAGAGGTGCAACAGTGTGTCTACAGCTACCTGTAAAGCAGGGTGGAGGCTCTGATTTGGAGCTGCATTTCACTCACTGCTGTTGGGAATCTTGTCAACATCGGTAAAATTACAAATGTGAAAAAGCACAATCAGCTTTTGATCCACCAAGCAATACCATTTGGAAAGCACCTGACTGGCAGCAAATTCATGTGTCAGCATGACAATGAGCCCAAACACACTGATAATGCAGTTTAAACACGAAGGGTGACATCTATGGAATTTCTCTGAGGTCTATTTATGACAAAAATGTTGTTTTCTTACCATCTTAAGAAAACAACCATGCATGGCAAGAAAAAGGAGAAAAGTATACCCTGCACATAGTTTTTAATAATACCCCATTTTATGCATTTAACGCAATTATCAGTAAAACAGTGCAAAGCAAACAGCGTGGGAGGCCTTGCTGCTGAACAAACACACTTTAGGGATGTATGGGCATCTACTCTGCATCTCTACTGATGTGTAATCAGCCTTCAGACAGAGAGTTGGCATGCTTGCAGAAGAGAGCAGAGTCTCAATGAAGGCTGTAATCACAGAGGTCGAATTTATCTCAAGGAAGGAAATCACTGAGACACACTAGAATCTGTGCCTTTGAGCGGTTTCAATTTATGCGTTCACAGCGCCTCACAAAGCTACCACAAAATGATTTCTTCACTGTGCCAAGAAGGTGACAGTAGATGTGTTACTGAGAAGTGTGTGTATTTGTGTAAGAGCATGTAGGATGAAGGCTTTTGTGCCAGAATAACACGGTTTAATTTGAGCGGGGGAGAGCTTAATGAGGGCAAGGTACTGTATCTATAGAGAGTTATTTAAATGGCTAATCCTTTAAAGCACTTAGCACCATCGGGGACGTTCATACCCTTTACTGCGACACAGGCATACACACCCACAAATCCTTTGATCTGATATGAACTCACAAATCGAATCATTATTCAGAGACATTTGTGCTGCGAAATGCGATAATTTTCTTCCTCAATGTTCACTTATCTGATAACATAAACAATTAAAATAATATCAGACTCACCATGTGACTCTCGCCCAGCTCCCTGGCCAAACCCGCTGTCATAGGACTAGAAAGAGAGAGACAACGGTTCAAATGTGAGCAAGGATCAAAAAATCACCACATCAGTCTTCTGAATATATATTTATTCACACTGACACCCAATTTAGTAAAAAGATTAAATACATTTGTGTTGCAATCTGTTTCAGTTTTTAGAAACTATATAATCTCAGTAAAATACATAAACATGCACTGAGACAGCTCGCAGAGCTCCGACTCCTTTTTCTTTCTTTAAAAAAAGCCCAGATAAGGTTACCCTGTTGTTTTAAAAGAAGCTGAAACTGTCATAAAACACGACAGTTTTCTACACATATTTATGAAAAACCGCCACCTGCTACAATAAGCAGCTCATACAAAACTCACACTAAACGATAGGCGGTACGCGGGAAAGTCCAACCATGTTTTGTCCCTGTGTATGATCTGATCACGCCTCAACAATAAGGTTTGTAAATGGATACGTGGCTGCTCATAAACAGGCCCTCTGATACATAACCACCCACCACCCACTGCTTCTGGCATACTTACATTCACGAATAATTAACCTGCTAAGCAAAAAAAATAAAATAAAATTGGTATCCATCCAAAAGTATGAAGCCTGTTATCAACACACCAGTGAAACAATGATAAACTATGTAATAAAAGCCTCTTGTGCTAACTGCCAAAATTATATGAGCTTGTCCTGATACAGAATCAATTTAAGGATTTAGTGGAACCCGCATTGCTTCGACGACTTGAGCTCTTGATAAAAAATATCAGTGTGGTGCAAAAAATGTGTTTTCCCTCCTGGTCGGGAGGGGGAAAAGAACACTCTGCTACAGCTTTAAGACCACACCGCACTGCTCAGCCCCCTCCGTTTATTATAAATGAAGTATTTCTCGGCAGAGTGCCACCTACTGAAGGTGGGTGGCCTGTTCTTCTCATTCAAATGTTGCCGCGCTGTGTTGTTGTTTACAGCTGCACCCAGTTATCAGGAAGCTACATTTCATATTTTTTAATTTTTTAACATCTACTCACCAAACTTCCTCGGATGTATTCAATGGCCTTTTGGATGTCCATGCCTGACCAGTTGTCCAGCATGTAACAGATACTGGCTGCACAGTAGATAAAGCGTATATCATTCTCACTTCCTTCTGGCACTGCGTAAAAACTGGAAGAAAGAGGAAGCAGTAAAGCCGGATGAGCTACATAAACAACTGGAAATAAGCCTGCTGTCCATTCTGAAGACGAATTTGATTTTTATAAAGCTTCTCAGATAAAACTGCTAAGGCATTGTTTGTGCCGCATTAAGAGAGCTGGCAGTCGCAGAGTAAACACTTATTTGTCATGTGTTTGTTCAGAGGTTGCTGATTAATGTTGCTAACTGTCGTTTTTGACCTGTTTTTTTAATCATTAGTGAGGCGGCTGTTACTTTTCTTAACACCAAGTGAACTTGTCAAAGATACTGGCAGTTGTTGGCTACCGTTGTCGCCCTTATGAATGATGGGCGTACCAAAAGTTACATGTACATTGACAATAAAAAGCTATTCTATTCTATGCTACAGAGAGCACAGATATTTTGTGGAAAAAGTAAGATGTGAGATCTAAGCTCACGATCCATCTCAGGTCGCAGGTTATTGGCTGGAAAACGACACACGTGACCTCGGCCTTGACTGAAATTTGGTTGAACACCTAGTAGGTGGTCACTGTGTGCAAGTGTCACTAAAATCGGATCAATATTCTTGGAGGACTAGTGAATCTTCTGAAAATGGAAAAACACCCACAAGTTCGATTAAATTTTGGCCGACTTATAGGAAGAGTGGATGTTTGGCAGACGTCTGGCCACGGCACCGGCTCATCGGTCATTTGACCAGATGAGCCAAAATCCTCTCGATCGCTTTGTTGCCCGTTTCCTTTTCTTCTATTCTAATTCCCGCACCGATCCAGTGATTGTTTCTGCGTTGTGGCAGCACGCCTCAAGCACAGCTATAAATAGTTACAGGGATGTGGTGACGTCACAGTTCCCACGAGCAAAGACCAATGCCAACAATAATGCCGCTTTGGGAAGGTTTATCCTGCTGTGATGGTTAGAAGGGAGTCGTTAAATTTATAGAACATATAGGTGTCAAACATAAGGCCCTGAGTCCAGAATCGGCTCAGCAAAGACTCTAATTTGGCCCACTGGATGAAAGAGGGCATACATTTTAGACTTTTAACTGTAGTTTTGCATCTTTTTTTCCACTGATAAAGATCTCTCCTATGGCCATTCATACTTCATCAAGGTAACTAAATAACAGATAAACAACTGAATGACAGAACAGATTCTTTTTTCCACCATCTACTGTAGAATTGTCTGTTTCTTGTGTTTTTACAGTGGTTTTCACACTAAACCAAAACTAAATGCATTTTCTGGAAATGAACAAAGGCTTTCTGTCTTATAATTACAGGACATTTTCAGTAGTTTTATATGTTCGTTTCTAACAATGACATCCCAGGAAGTCATGCTGACTGATTCATTTCAGCAGCATTTCTTTATCATGTAGAAACACTGAGACATAATCATCAAACTGCACTTCTTTTTAATAATAACATAAGAAAAGATATCTCAGGGAATAAATGTGCAGCTGAACCTCTTTACACAAACAGAAAGGGACGTTTCACTGATCTACCCCACTAAAGATTTGCAAGCGTTGTATTGTTTTCTTGTTGTACAATCTTTTATCAGGGTGCCTGGAGACTTGCACACAGAACTGCTACTGCAGAATCAAATGTGAGTCAGTCCGTGTTAAGGCTGCTCGTTGTCTCCACCACCTCAGGTGTATTTAAATCGAGCTTCTGAAGGAAATCAGAACGTGTATGTGTGTGCGCTCTGACCTGCCATCCTCCAGCTGCAGCGCCCTCAGACCAGCCAGACAGGCCTGCTTGTTAACCCGGCTAAGGTCATCTCCAAGTATCAGCAGTGAGCACAGCCCAGTATAGGTCATAGCTACATGGCCACTGTCATATGGATGGAGCACACCTGGGCCCTGGAGAAAACATCAGCAGGAGATATTATTTTTACCACTGAAGCTATACGGGAAAAGATTGTAGACAGAATGGTAATAGTTCTGACTACTAATCCTTCAGCTGGAGGGAAGAATAACAAAATATTTGGAGCAGGATTACCATAAATACAGAAAACAACAGAAAAATAGGGATAATAGTAGTGAAGCCGCCTCTAAGACTAATGCAAAAGAAGGTGATGCTTTAGTTTTTACAAAACATAACCTCAAAAAACATGCTGGGGTGGGCGATGGCTGTACCTTAGTGCTGTAAGGGATTCCAATATGTGATGATCCCCGAAACCCACATCGACTTAGGTTGGATTCTGAAAAAAGACAAGAGCGGAAGGAAGAGCAGATATTTAACAAAAGGTTGTCACTCCACACAGGTGAAGAAAAACTGGGACAAAGAAAGCATTACTAGATTTATTCTCCCGAAAAATAATAATATAAAAAGAACACTGCTGCCATCTCCTGGTTATGACAGAAACACCACTTACAGTGGACAGCATGCTCCAGCAGTTTCAACATACGATAATTAAACAGTTGTTACATGTGGCACATTTATCACCATTACATCTACAGATCATTATGCCCTGAGTGGCAGGTGCTATTCGCACTTATTGTTGAGTTTATACTTGCTCCACAACACCTTTATCATTTTTTGATGCATAAATATAAAGATTAAATCACTCGAAACATCTGCAGTTTCATGCCAGAGATCTATTTCCATACCAATGATACATTAGGAAATCTCGAGTGCCTCCTGAGTTGTGTTTTTCACACCTAATGACAAGAAATTTAATGTGACGCCAAACATATGGCAGCAACAAAACCGAGACCAATCAGGCATGGCTACCCCTCTGTAATTTCTGTTGATGGCTTGAATAATTAACTGAATGGGCATCTAAACAGATGGCACAGATTGGCTTGTTAGAGACAAAAAAAACCCAAGTCATTAAAGATTTAGAGTCCAACTTTCCCTGACGAATGAATGAATGTAACAGGGTAAGCGAGGAGAACACCTGGAAGTCGGTATTGGTTTCATAATCCAGACTTTCAAGTTCGACAGCTTTGAAGTCGACAAACATGAAGAGAAAAACCCGAAATGTATCCTGGGGTAAAAATCTTAAAAAGGCAGAAAGCTGAACCTCTCAAGAGCCCATCAATCCCACAGTAACTCAGTCTCTCTGCAATATCATGATGATATCTTAGGGACTGACACGCACTAACCCTCACCCCCTACCAGCATCCCGTTTGCTAACAGCACCAGAGATTGATGATGAATTCCATAATTTTCAAATCTTTTTGATTTATTTTCTAGTGCAGTTCAATTTAGGTACTAAACCAGTTAAACTTAACTGTGGAATCTTACACCAAAGAAACAGGGCACAAATGTAGGCAGAGATGCAATGCCTGATTAATGCATTCAGGAACTCTGACAGCTGTATTGCTCTACCACTTAATGTTAGCCTTTGTAAAAAATAATATTCCTACTGACAATGATTTTTTTTTGCACTGCCAACTGCTAAATAGTTATAAAAGTAGGAAAATGTGTGACTTACGATCCTCAGTAGGCAGAACCTGTAGTGAGTAGATGTACTCAATCATGACGTTCCGATCAATCACTTCTAGGGCATCCAGCACATCCAGACCAGACAGGGCGAAAAACACGATGGTCAACCTAAAAACAAGGTGAGATTTACATTCATTTTTTACTTATTACAAATATATTTGTGAGAATGCAAAAAATCAGAGGCAATGTAAGATGTGGTTTATTGTAGTGGTGTGCGGATACTGAAATATCTATTCCTCCAATACCAGTTATTTATGCTCTAGAATAGATTCTCATATTAAAATATTGATATTTTAGTAATTTGGGGTAAATTTGTAGTTTATCATTAACAGGAACACAGTGGAAAGAAACAATATCATTATGATCATCTAAATTGGAAGGAACTACTTTCTCTTCCGCCTTTCATAGTCATATGCGAAATACGGCTGTATAAATGTGTGGCAGCCCCTTGGCTTGCGCACTCACAACAATGGCTCATGTGTGGACGTATTTTACCTCCACAAAAAGCCAAGACGCGGTTTGCGATACATGTGGCAAGACAGTGAGGTGTTGTGGCAACACCGCTAACCTCGTCAAACACCTCAGAGTAAATCATATAAGAGAATATGACGAGCTTATGTTGAGGCGAACGGAAGAGGAGGAGAGGGACAGGCGCTGCTAGGGCGAGACAGACGTCTCTCGAACATCTTAACACTTTCAGCTCCACCTCCTGTTTTCTAGTTAGTGCCACCGTTACTAAACCATATATCACAGTAGTTCTCATTACCATCTTGTAAACCGTACCTTTCACTCTTTCTGCTATCCTGACAATCACTCCACCTTGCCTGCACTCTCTTCTTCACCTCTTATTGAACGGTTCATAGCTTTGGATGGTTGATGTCAGGTACTTATTTTTCTTCACTGTGACACCTCCTTCCCTATCATTCACACACATTTCTGCCATTTGCGCAATATCTCCAAAATTAGAAACATCCTGTCTCTAAGTGATGCTGAAAAACTAGTTCATGGATTTATTACTTCTAGGCTGGACCACTGTAATTTGTTATTATTAGGATGTCCTAAAAACTCCCTGAAAAGTCTTCAGTTGATCCAAAATGCTGCAGCACGAGATCTCACAGGGACTAGCAAGAGAGAGCATATTTCTCCTATATTGGCTTCTCTGCACTGGTTCCCTGTTAAATCCAGAATTAAATTTAAAAACCTGCTCCTGACATACAAGGTCTTGAATAATCAGGCGCCATCTTAATGACCTTACAGTACTCTATCACGCCAATAGAGCGCTTCACTCTCAGACTGCAGGCTTACTTGTGGTTCCTACAGTATTTAAAAGTAAAATAGGAGGCAGAGCCTTCAGCTTTCAGGCCCCTCTTCTGTGGAACCAGCTCCCAGTTTGGATTCTGGGGACAGACAGCCTCTCTACTTTTAAGATTAGGCTTAAAACTTTCCTTTTTGATAAAGAATATAGTTAGGGCTGGACCAGGTGACCTTGAATCCTCCCTTAGTTATGCTGCAATTGATGTAGGCTGCCGGGGGATTACCATGATGCTTCTTCAGTCATCTTTTTCACTCACTGTGCATTTATACACCTCTGCATTTAATTATTAGTTATTATTAATCTCTGTCTCTCTTCCACAGTATGTCTTTCTCTTGTCTTCATCCATTCACCCCCAACCGGTCATGGTTCTTTGTATTATTGTAGGGTCTTTACCTGACAATATAAAGCACCTCGAGGCAACTAGCTTGGCGGTATATAAATAAAACTGAATTGAACTGAAATATTCCGTCTTGCTTCTGGTGACTTTCATTACTCTTTTATGGATATCTCTCAACCACCTGCTTCGTGTTCTTACTTCAGATCACATCAGATCACAGCCTAGTTAGCCAAGTAAGTACTAGTTAGTACTTACTTTTCATTTCATTTATTCTGCTTAAATTATGGTAAAGCTCTCAGTTCGTTCTACATTAGAGACACATTTTCTTTATAGCGAAACACTAGTTTATAGTTTGTAAAGCGGCGTTTTCCGTTAATTAAATAAAAAAGTTGAAACACGTACAGAGTTAATATTCAAATTTACAAATTACAGTTCGCTGCAACACGTAGGTGAGACCAATTCCCTTGATGACTATGATAATAACATGACCTATCACTTAATAATAAACACCTCACTGCATTGTGTTAATACATCTGTTCATCTGCCATAACTTGGCTAAGCTGGTGCTTGCAGTTATGCTATGCTACTAGCATTAGCCTCCATTCAAAACTGCTTGTGAAGACCACCTAGCTTAGCTGCTAGTGAAGTTCTTCCACAAAACACACAAACTAGAGCATCTTTGTTCATTTCGGTGAACTGACCTGGTCGTTTCCAGCGAGGCGTATCTCTCAGGTAACACCTGAAGTGTTCGCTGAAAGAATCGTACATGTCGATCTCTTAAAAAGTCTATTTGCTCAAATTCTTCAAACTCGTTCTCCTCTTCCGCCATCTTTGCTTTCGCACCTATGAGAATCCTTTTCCGGTACGTTTAAGTTTCAAAATAAAAGCTCATACTACTTCGATGTACCTAAAGTGTAAACGGCACATCACAATAAAAATCTTTATTTTAAAAATAACAGTTTCACAGTTTAAAATTGAACTGAATTGCACCTTAAAAGTTATATGACAAATTAAAAAGGGACAATTCGGGCGGTGTATATCTTTATTTTCTTTAAAAAATAGAAAGGATTCTGAACACAATGCAGGACTTCATCACAGGCCTTGTCTCCAAGTGGGAACAGCTCTGTAACAAAAAGAACATTTCAGTCATTTAGAAATAAATTACTCATTATTACCAAATGTTTCTTGACAGAAACTTGAACGATTTATAGAAAAAAAATTAAGTTTAAGAGGCAAACCTGTGAAACATTTGTAGCATTGGCCCATCTCCCGACGGTCCAATGTGTTTCAGCCGCTCCTCCCATCCCTTCGTAGGGCGGGTAAGCCTGGACGGGTCTCTGTTGACATGATTGTCCACCTGAATGTGGAAAAAAGGACAAAACGTCAACCTTTTTCCCACACGCAGTTTAATCTTATTTCAAGATTTCACAATGATGATTTTCCGATTTAGTGACTTAACTGTTACTTTTTCCACAAGAAAACAAACCTCTCACCTTCTCCTTCAACTTGGCAGCGAGTCTCCTCTGCCTTTCCTCTTGCTCTTTTTCCCTCAGCTGTTTCTCATGGCGCTTTGCCTCCACCCTATGAAGATCCTGCAGAAAGGCAGAGACGAGCCTTGTATTTCTCAGTGTTTTGACATCACAACCTCGCCTGATGAAAATCGCGCTCTTATCTAGAGCAACATCCTGTTTAACACCAGAAATCTGAAAATCTGGCATTTGACAGCAGTCACTTAAGGCATCTCAGTTTAAAACACGCAAACATCGCATCTTGTGTTTCCTTGTGTCTGTAATTTTGGCACTTTTGTACCCTTTCATTAAAACGCCTGATGCTCTTTGTCGCCTCCTTTCTCCTCTCTTCTCTTTCTCTCTCTTCTTCTGCTCTCCTCCTCCTCTCTTGTTCCTCCTCTTCTACTCTCCTCAGTCGGAGCTGCTCCTCTACGGTTAGCTTCACTTCCAGCTGCCGGCGGCGCTCCTCCTAATAAAAAGTATGAATACATAATTGGTTAAAGTAAAAAGCAGTTCAGGACACAACATGCACATATTTACTCCTTGGTTTTACTCTGTATTTTCATTTTTACATTAAATGAGTGCATAACTACACAGAAGTGCTCCCTGACTAAACTAAACTACAGCGACAGTAAAATGACACCCAAGCACAAAAGCACCTTTTCCCGTCTCCTCTTTTGAATCTCTTCAGCCAGTCTTTGCTCCTCTTCCTGCTCCTCCCTCCTTTTCTTTTCTTCCCTCCATTCCTCCAGACGCCGTGCCATCTCCCTCCTCTCCTCCTCAGTCCTAAAACAAATTATATACCATGAACAAACGACACCCCCAAAAATCCATCAATCAACTGGGTGCTCATAACATGAGCTGGGATTTACAACATTGGGTTGAATTTAACCGGCATAGCTAGGAGATCAACCCGCCTGCATCATCTCCTTTTTATTTCATACTAGTGTGTCACACTCCTGGCTCACCTGTGTTGCTGGGCCTGGCTTTTGGCCTCCTTCTCCCTCCTTTTTGCCTCTTCTGTCTTCTCCTGAGTCTGTATCCTGATCTGGCGTTCCTGATGCTTGCTGGCTTTCCAGCGCTGAATAGCCTGCATGTGGCATAAAAATAAGCAGTGACATAAGAAACCACAAAATACTTAACAAGCAGCAGCACGGGTTGCAAAAAAATTCTTATGATGTGCTGTCTATTTAATGTTAACACATAAAGAAAATGTGAGGTAATGTTCAATCATCGCCATTTTTTCAAACTAATCAGGGGGGGATATGTAGTGAAGATGAAAATCGAACTCTTTATGATTGCTTAGTTTTCAGTTAAAAACAGTGGACTGTCAGCAGAACTTCTGCGCTGATGTTTTAAGTCTCCCCTCATAATAAATTATTAAATGCTTTTTGTAACTCTGTCTGAAAACTCAAAGGTCAAACTGGCTCACCATCAATGAAACTCAAAGGTTATTGTAGTGTGTAAAGTGCAAAATCTGTTGGCTGTGTTGCACAAAACTACCGAAAATTCTAATCCACTCAGAAGTAGAGGTGGTTCACAAACATCTTCACTGAAAAACCAAAGTGTTTGAGTTCAGGAGTAATACATGACTACATGGTCAGTAGTAACCACAGCCAGAGAAAACGTGAATGCATCAGCATATCATATCACTGACCCGATTACTGATGTTAGCATAATGGTGATATGTGGGAGTCAACCAATAGGACCAGCCCCTAAGATTACAATCATCACCATCTAACAAACAGGACGTGCGGCAAAGCAGTATTTAAAGCTATTACATCATTTGATATTTCATGAAGTTCTTTCTTTATCATTTTGTGCAAAATCTATCAAAATCCAGAATCTTCTGTTAGCAACTTTACTGTAATAGTCTGCATTGAATACCGTTTAATTTCACTCAGGAGTGAGGAGTGAAACTGTAAGCAGCATGCATGAAGGTTATAGTGCGAAAATGGAAATGCTCCCATAAAACAACAGATATGGCCTTAACCTTGAGGATGAGCTAAAAGTGAAGTTCACAGGTGCTTTTTCTCCAACCTCACCTTCACGTTTGTCTAATGCGCACATATATAGATAATAGTTGGATTTCTATTCTGCTCAGACATGTTTTGTCATTACCTCTTTCTTCCTGTCCTGCAGGTAGATGAGCTCCTGATGCCATTCCTCGTGTTGCTCTATCTCCTCCATTGTTCTACCAGGCAGATACAGCTTGGCTTCTTTCCTGTAGCCCGGCTCCCCACTGTGCTTCACCCAGACCTGTGAGTCAGATTACAGACAGACAACCGCGCTGAGGTCACCAAGCTTTGGGCTGGCAGCTGCTGAGTCTGCCCGTTAGTTTAAGCAGTAGTGTTTGACCGTATGACATGATCAGCAAGTGAAAGGAAGAGAAATAACAGTAATGGTTTACTTGCTTTAAGAAAAGCTTCATGGTCATATTGGTCCCAGCCACCATAAGAGCCTCCAGTCTTCTGCAGGAAAACCTCCAGCGCTCTGACTTCTGCTGGCAGGTCTCTGTCGGGTGGTTTGGTCTTATGGAAAAGAGGCAGCTATGAATTCAGGGTGCATTTTGAAATAAAGTCAACTGCCACTGTGTTGGTTAGAGAGCTATTTATTTATCTTATTCTAATTCTGAGACTTCTCACTGAAACTCATCTCTCTAATATTTTACCACCTAATTGACAAACACGAGAGAAAGTTCAGAGAGGAGGAAGACGAGACAGAGACACACCCTAACAGTGGGAGCTGCGGGTAGTTTGGGATTCGTTTTGACAGCAAGGCTCCAGTTTTCAATCTTCTTCTCATAAGCGGTGATTTCCTGTCTGCATGTCCACTCTTCCTTCAAAAATTCCTCAAAGCTGAACGAAAAGCAAATCAATTTTAACAAAATATTGACATCAGTACAAAAGTTCACCCCCAGAAAATATTAAACGGTGGCTGCTCTTTCTCTCCTTTAACGTACATAAAGCTGGAATCATGTGCGAACGAATGCAACATGTACAAGTGCGATGTACCTGCTTGCTTCACTATGTTAAATATTATTACATTTTAAGTTAAAGGTAGTTTACTTTAATATGGATGACATATTTTAAAATGGATTTTAAGCCTCTACATCTAACTCAGCTTGTTTGGTTTATGCTGTTACCGTGAGCGCTGTTCCTCCTTCACGCTGTTAATAGAAATTTCCACCTCTGACATGATTTCCTTCAGTTTTTCAATCACTGAAAATCCAAGAAATGCAGAGACAATAAGAACTCTATACATATAACAATGCAGACAACTTTGTTGAGCAGTGCACTACTCAGATGCATCGAGTATTTCCTTTTCAGTCACTTTTCTCACTCAACAAGTGTCAATAGACCTCTCTGCTGAATCACACTTGTTATTAATCTCTGGTTCTCGTCCACAGCATATCTTTCATCCTGTCTTCCTTCTCTCTCCCCAACCGGTCGCAGCAGATGGCTGCTCCTCCCTGAGCTTGGTTCTGCCCGGAGGTTTCTTCCTGTTGAGAGGGAGTTTTTCCTTCCCACTGTCGCCAAAGTGCTTGCTCATAGGGGGTCACATGATTGGGTTTTTTTCTCTGTATGTATTATTGTAGGGTCTACCTTACAATATAAAGTGCCTTGAGGCGACTGTTGTTGTAATTTAGTGCTATATAAATAAAATTGAATTGAATTGAATACTCTGCAATAGTGGAAATTAAATTAAAGAGGACCTATTACATTCATTTCCATTTCCAGCTATTTACTCTTGGATCTTTACTACATCAGCTTTGCATGATTAAAAGTTCAAAATCATCCCCATTTACTTCATAGTAAGTCTCGTTTACTCTGAAATGAGCTGTTTTAGCTCCTTGTCCTTTAAGTAATATTTTTATGACTGGCTGCCAATCGAGAACAGAACGCTTAAATAGCAGCTGGAGTAAGATGTCCATATTAGGGATATCCCATCTCTTTGACATCATCCAGACCCAGGAGCAGAAAAAAACAGTCTAAAGGGGAGTTTTAAGCGAGGTCTGAAGCCTGAGCTTGTGGCTCACAGGGATTTCTTGCACAAATACCAGCTATTACTAATTAAAACCCTCACTCTGTTTAATGTGAGCATTTACCAACAGTATAATATATATGACTGGAATAAGGAAAAGCAGAAATGGTCCACTTTAACATAAATGAGTAAAAACTCACACTCCGGAGTTGGTTTCACATCAGTTAGATGTCTTTGAAATTTCCTCACACCATTATGAATCTTCATGAGCTGCTTTTGAAGATTTATCTCTGAAGAAAAAAGAACAGGTTAATGAAAACCTCACCTCGCAACATTAAAATGTCAGGTGAAA